TTCGCTTCGGTAATGGACGTGAAGATACAGTTGCTCTTCATCATCTGGCACCCAAAGGCGAAGATATAGATCAAGTTGAAAATTCAATACCGGAGGGCGACGCAATTCCTGAGCAACAAGTAAATGGGGATGCGACCACTGATCCTAATATTCTTCGTGAAGAAAATACAACTGAAACGAACAACGGGCGTATTCTTTTGGAAAAACAACAACGTGTACGGCCTTACAATTTGCGTACCAGAGAAGCGTGACATAATGGCTCATTCCTTTTCAAGCCGCAGTGAATGTTGTGAACTTTTCTTATAATACGTATCTAGTCATATTCATATCTCTACCGCTATTAACACTCTTTTTTTCCTTTATATGTTTAAGCCATTCCGGCTTCATTGTAAAATGAATAAAGCCTAAATTCTTGGTTCATTCGTCTTTTCAAGATTCAAGCATCACTCATCGTTCTAAAACTCAATCACCTTCGTAACAACTGCAAGCGAAATTATTTCAAAAGAAACTGATTAGTGGTTATATCAAGACTGTTGGTACCAACCATTGTACACCAATGTAGTCTGCTCGGGTGCTGTATATGTAAACTTAGTGTACCAATTAAAGTGCCACACTTCAAAACCCTATGCGAACGAAAAATGAACAGATGCAGAAAGACACTAACATGGAAAAAGCTGAATGAAAGCCAACGATAATTACAAACCTTCAAAAGTCTGAACCCAGTAAACAATCAGTACATCTGCACTATAATAAATGTTTCTTAGATTAGTTGTTAACCTAGCTTAGTTTACTAGCTTGCTAGTTTTCTGGCCCGGGTAGAGAGGGGAGGTTGGCTGTGGGGCTAGTGACACCAACCCAACAAAACAAATCAAACTGCTACACAAACTTCAACCCATAAGAAATATATTAAAAATACACAAAATATTGCAAAAAACAAACTTATTCTCTGCTGGAATCGGAGAGGTGAAATGACACAGAGGGCTGGCTGGTGAAATCCAGCCTTCGGGAAGCCAGTCAGCCAGCCAACCAGCCGATGCATCTCCTCTCGATGAAAACAAGAATAAGAATGAGGAAGTGGAATGTACGAAGCCGGATGGGAAGGGCATGAAGGCTCTCCATATAACCAAAGAAATGAGGAAATTTAAAATAGAAATGCTGGGAATCTGTGAGAGCAGACGGAATGGATGTGGAAGGTGATGAAAGAGATGATGACGAACTGCAAAGATGGAAAACAGAAGGAGGAGCTGAGTTTAATTTACACTGCACTGAATAAAGTGAAGAGTGCTAGGAAAGACAAAAGACAATACTACGACATACTGGCCGGCAACTGAAGCAAAACAGACAGGTCACAGAAAAAGTAGGAGACCTCAGAACACTATTTCAGGTAACCAGGTCCCTATCTGAAAAGAGACCAACCCAGATGATGAAACCAATAAAAGATGTCCAAGGGAACCAGACTACCAAGGTGGAGAAACAAATAAAACAATGAATAGGCTGATCACTTCAAAGGACTCGGAGTGACCATCACCTGCTACCCGCCCAGAAATACCACCAACAGGACGCACAGAACTGCCTACCAGTGGACACCAGTACTCCAATGAGAGCCGAAATCATGAATGCATTCAACCTACTGAACGCCCACCGAGAAGGCAGCAGGGCAAGGCAGAATCCCCCCCCCCGAAGCACTCAAAACGGACCCAGAGACTGCGGAAGATGTTCTCACGCCATTATTGCAAATGGTTTGGAGGGAAAAAGTGCCTGCCGATTGGAAGAAATCCTGGCTACCTTGTTAAGCTATTAAATAAGGGAGACTTAGTCGTCTCTCCGTAAGAACTGACTGGAGTGGGACAACGCTCTTGTTCACCCTTACCAGGTAAAATACTAAGTTACCGCATACTCGAGAGAATGAAAGATGCACTGGATGCAAAACTCCCCTGTCCCGGTGAACAAGCTGGTTTCAGGAAAGGCAAATCATGTGCTGATCAAGTTGCAACTTTACGCTTCGTCATCACAGAACAAAGCATAGAATGGCAGTCAACTCTGCCTCTAACTCAACTTTATCTACTTCGAAAAGGCCTTCGACAGACAGCGTTGACCGAGAACTCATTTGCAAACTGCTTCAACACCACCACGTGCAGTGCCCAAGTCTTTATCAACGTCATTCAACAGCCGGCTATGTGACAATGCCAGGTGATCCACAACGGAAAACTCAGCGAGGCGTTCAAGTGAGTACAGGGGTAAGACAAGCTGGCTACCTATTATCGCTGATATTCTTAGTTGCGGTGGACTGAATTATGCGTCAGACTGCGCTTTGAGAGTGATAGGACAAGAATACGTTGGATCAACCGATAAGAAGACTCAAGAAGATCTGGATTTCGAAGATGATCTATGTCTAATGTTACACAAATTCGAAGACTTGAACTGGAAAACAAATAAATAAAATGGCTGAAGAGGCTGGCAGAGAAGACAGGACTTCAGCTGGACAGAGAGAAGACGGAGGTGATGGAGATAACAACCACCGCCAACACCAACAGCTACAACAAACAGTACCAATCACCATCAATGGGAGAGATTTGACAGGAGTTACTTCCTGCCTTCACTTATACGGTCAGGCAGAATGCTTCAAAATGTTGGTATTATATAACTCTATACTATTCTAATTCAAAAACTACCATAAATTGGGATATACGGTGATCCACAGTATGCGCACTAAAAGAAAACCTTAAAGGTAGATGACAACAGGTACGAATTTTCCCAGCATTATGGTACAGCTGAGTAGCGTTCAGTATAAGCAAATAGTGTTTCAGTGTTTTAACATGATAATTACAAACAGTGGGCCATTACAGCAGGCAGCTAACCTAATAAAATCTGAACCAGTAGAAATTAGAATATGACGCAATAATGCCTACTGGTATCGAAGTGTAGACAGCTTTCACACGCTGTTAAAAGGAAGTGTAATGTGACTGTTGTCAGAAATTAAGTCCCTCCTTGAACAGATTTTCATGTACCACACTAAATCACACCTTACTGTATGAGGGCTCAAGACCACTACCCAATGAGTGGAGCTGGATTTAGATCCAGAACCGACTAGTTGAAATCCGAGTGTTTAAATCAACCAACCCACAACTCCATCCTCTTGAAACCTGAAGTTCCGCTAATGGTAGTTAAGCATATAGATGTTAGACTCATTTGCGAAACCCGAATTACTTTAAAACGCCACAAGAACACACTGATAGGCAAATGTCTACTTGACTGATAAAATTATTTATACTGGCCCTCATTTTTTGTCTTAGATATCCTACAAGAAAAAGCTTCATACGCACATATGCATCTCAAGAGTTTAAGCCCCACCCCCTAAGCCGCGTGCGACCCAGTCACCTAATCGCTAACTGTAGCAAGTTCGTTCAAGTAAGCCTGGAACCGTAATCTATCATTTAGTAGTTGTATTATAGAACTTTGGTCACGGATCGAAAACCAAACCGAACAACACGCCATATAATAATATTCATATGACAAAATCGAAGTAAAGAGAGAGATTATAGTTTATGATTGAACAATTGTAAACTGGATGCTTCAAATTTATATTTTTGTTTAGAAATTCTGCTGCACTGCTTACCTATGATCACAAGCAAGACAAACTTTGTAATAAACACACACCACCGCCAGGTAACAAAGTTTATCAATATCCTCAGTCTGCTGCACACAATTGTAAGAATACACTAAAGCCACAGTAAAAAGGCTAGAGAAAGTCCCTCCCTGGGTAATCAGATTTAATAAAACCCATTGGTATGAGCTTCAATGATGACTACAAGTTAAAAGGCCAGAAGCGCATATTTGCAGTGAGATGAGTTCTAAGAGTATGAGAGAGGATATATCAATAACATCCACAACAGTTAGTTTAAGCCGGCTACGTAGGGAGGTGTAGACTTCCTGGTTAAGGTCCTCAGGATGGTAAAAAAAACCAATGAATGCTTGAGACAATTGGTGATATGGCTCAAAATTGTTCTCAGTGACACAGATGCATCTACTCCTCGTGACTTATAATACCCAATAAAACTATATTGTTCTTCGATATTACTGTTCTTACTGTCTCTAGTTTGCATTTCTTTTCACTTTCTTCTGCTGTTTTGTGTGCTACATGGAGTGGAGTGTGGCGACTGGAACTGCTGCACATCTGTGCAAAGTTCTATGTTGAAACCAGTAAGTCATATCAATGTAAGATGTAACAAAGAAATGTCCGCGCTCCCATGGAGCTAACAATAACTGGTGACATCTTAAAGAACGATGACCCGCAAATAAACTAACTAATCAGGCAGTGGACATTCAGTTCCTCAATATTCCCTGTGAACTCCTATATGGAACACTGACACTGGTCCCTGAAGACATAGAGTAGTCCAAGAAGTCGCATTGCACAGCCTATTCTCGATGACATTTAAGAACGACCATTACTGATTGTCAAGCGTAACTAGCGAGCGAACAGTTACGGAAATGATAGTGGGGGAACTACGTCATCATAGTAACGATCACTGATAAACAAAGACCTGTAAAAAAAAGCCCTGAGCAGAGTTCCATAATTTACTACAGGATAGAGAAAAGGAAACAAAAACCAAACCATAACACAATAAACGAAACTGGATACAAAAAGAAGCAGAATAACTAAATGAAGATTAGTCAAGTGCGAAATCTGGATGATTCACTAGACCTGTATCATGATTAATTTATGACCTTCAGTCTTTCAACTTAATCCTACATTAGCGAGTAAGGAGTAACAGCGCAAACAATGAATTACCTTTAATGACCCTGAGGTGAAGAAGTTTATAACTTTACTACGACGTAATGAATGGAACACTAGTGAATACACAAACTTAACATCGCTCATTAGAAGAACAGTTCATAAAAGTGCTCAAAACATTAATAACTAAGAAACTCTAACATCTGGTGACTTAATGACCACTCGACCGATAGCTGCTAACTTGATGTGGTGGTTGGGCTTGCACATCACAATGATCCAACAAGCTGCACTAGCTGGGACTAATGTTCTTGAAGGTCCTACTGTGCCAGGAAGATTGATACGATAGCGATTAGACTGAAAGCCAGTTACCGGCATAGCGCTAGGCTGAGTGTCTGTGGGTGAAGTCGTACTGCTGGGGAACAGGGATTTGGCAGCATTAAGGTATCAGTTCATGATAAAATCCTGAAACCAATCGAATCCCTGTAAACCAACATTTGAATAGAAACTAAAAAATACAATGATTAGCATATGCCTGGTATCAAGTAGACGTGTGACCTATTCACATGTCTTTTGAAGTCAACATAAGCCTTAGGCATCCTTGAATAGTTCATGCGATCATACAAAAAACATACGCACCGAAAGTTCACACGAAAGCAAAGAGAAGAAATGTAATTTAAATAAAAACGGACGAAAATGTACGGGAAAGAGGATCATCAGATGAAAATTAGCGCTGATTCTCAGAAGTTGGCTGATGATGAAGAGTGGACATATCTCCCACTCCGGCGAGGACGATTACAAGCCAGTCCCACTAACAATTTCCAACTGATGATTTGACACAACTCGAAAATCCTAGTCACACAGTCTGCACTCTCTTTATGGCTTAAAAAACAAAATAGTCAAACACTTCACATACTGATATCATGTTCTTTACTGACTCTTTTCCAACTTCAGTTAACATTACTCGTCTAGGAAGGTGACGACACCTCAGAATGCATAACACTGCATAGCCTGGCCACCTCAATCAGCTACACAGCCTTATCAATTAACTTTCCTATCCTCACATAACACAACGCTAAACTACACACAACTACTCATACTATTGCTCTTCTGAAATAGCTGAATAGTTTAAACGGAAACGCCTGACAACTACATCGGTTATCTCACAACACACACACTCCGTGCGGTAGACAATCATGTAACCCTTTATGCACAACTTCAAACGTTAAAGACATGATGATAACCAAAATAAAAGCGAAAAAAGAAAAGAAAAAGAAGTGAGAACGCCTCTAAAAAAAACAAACTTTAAAAAAGACTAATTGACTGAGAAGAAAACAATATTTTATTATTATTATTATTATTCAAATGCATGCGTGTACAAATACAATTACAGGAAGTGAATTGTAAAACACTTTTTGGGTTAAAAAGGGTTTTACTTTACTTTACTGTTAACCGAAGCGCGTAAAAATTAATTACATCTGAGTAAATTTCTCAAAATCACTATTTAATGCTAGAATAAGAAGAAGCCAGGAAGGTATTCACATAGATATATGTATGTATATATGTAAGTAAGGGTATATAAATAAACCAAAATAAAATTGGCTGCAAATATTATTATTATTAATAATGTTTGAACTTTTCAAATAAAACTAAAAATAAAGGATACTTAAACGGATTGAATAAAATAAATTAAATAAATATATATACATATACAGTGTATTGGGGAATGTGAAGGAAATTAACAAAATACACGATTATAAAGGTCTGTACAAATAAATATAATACACAAGATAAAGGATCAGACTTTTTCTATATAAAAAAATTCACTGTACATTCACAATGTATGCTCAAAGTATACAAACAGACACACACGCACACACTTTGGCTCCCTCCGCCACCCCATCCATATGTAAAATTGAGAAGATACACAAAAACGCCAATAAATCAAGGTAGATAAACTGTACACATTTAAAATAACAGGAATGAGAGCATACAAAATAATAAGTTGCACCCAACAAAAACAATGTACAAAATTTAAATGAAGCATGGGAAGGCACTAAAAACGTATACATGGATAAATAATTACTGAGAAGCACTAAACCCGGTCATAGTTTTTTAATATAAAAAAGAAGGGGAAAGTGTAAGTGCCTATAATATCTACAACCATAATCTTGTTAAAAATTGTCATTATTATAAAAAAATGATAGTTTTTAAAACAAGGTTAATTCATCCACTTTCGACAATTGGGAGCCCTACAAAGACATGGTATTTTGTCACTTCTGTCTTCAAGATCAAAGTTATAGTCGTAAGACAACTCCTCGCCTTTTTTGACTCGTCTGTTAGTAATTATCACAATATGTGAATGATCGCCAAAATTTAAATGCTCAGCATAACAATTTGGTTGACAGGAGTGATTAATGTATCGAGCGAGTCCTCCACAAACTGTCGCATCAATTACTGTATCCTCGTCAAGACGAAACATATAGATACCTTTATTACGAGCTTCATATTGTTTTTCTCTTCGATTAGCTACCTCAAGACGAATTAACTCCCCGATGTATTCAATTACCATAGTTTGTGATTCCAAGTCCCGTGCAGCGAATAGACCTAGCCCTTGAATACGTGAACGACCCAGTGTAACATTAGATTTCGCTTCGCTTTTTAGTTTTCGGTATTGTTGAAATCGATTACTTTGATATTGTTTTGAAATTGTATTATCCATGTTGTTATAACTCAATCCACAAAATCCTGAATGAGGCAAACGTCGTACACCTGGTAATATTCCGGTACGATGACTTGACGGGGAAGAAAACTCACCAGAATCATGTAAGCGCTTTAAGTAGGTTTGCATTTTTGGTTCTGATCGTGCACATCCGGATGGGTTTATAGCTAATGGCATCTCCGATATAAGTTCTAGACGTCCAAAATTGAACACATAATCCCGTAAACCATCAACACCAGGCAGTGATTCTATTGCGCGAACTATGTGAGATTCGTTTAATCCGAACAAGTCTTCGCCTTTCAAGAGCTGTGGGAAAACTCTTACTAATTTGTGTTCTTTAAATAGCGATTCAATTCGTGAAAGAATTATTTGCCAAGCTCCATCACAGGTCTCATGTGTAACCGACACATCTTCCATACCCTTATCAACTGCTGTTATGCGGAAAAACGGATGACAATCTTTTTCTAATATTTCACAGACATATTTTGCGCGGGCACGTGGTCGGCGCATTGACCAGTATATGCGCGTAGCACACATTCCTGTAGGGTAAATATTTCGAAGATTGTGAAAATTTCCGCTATCTATTTGATGGGGTAATAACTGGCCGACGGAGTGAAGAGATACCCCTCCAATACGAACTATGTGTTTATCATTGTCTTCATGCACTACTCGGGCTACCTGACTATTTTCATCACGATTAATGTAAACACGCCTACTTACCACTAGAGAAGATAGCTGCATTGGATGGAATTCCTTAGTCTGGTGTTGAGGGCAATACATGCCACGATCCGTAAAGAACATGCATCGAATTTTAATTGCACATGGAACATGATAAACACAGGAACACTTGGGATTGTAACAAGGCAAACCGGCTCCAGTCAAACCACAATGAGAGCAATTTGTTTCTTTGGCCTTTGCCAACCAGACATCTAAATTATTTAGAGATCCACCAACAGTCTCATACACTTCGTAACACCACAATGCACAATTAATATGTATCCAGTTATTAACATCAAGTGGAAGCAAACGACCAGGTCCATCCTCCGGAGCATCTCCAGCTTGCTGACACAAAACACAAACTCGTTTGTCATCAGAATGTGAGGCACGCATCACTGCAAGATTTGCTTTCATGGTACTAGTAATGTCATTCTCCGATACACACCTCGATGATAAATCGAATGAATGACTGTTCTCAGATGAATACGACCTCCATCTAATACCTTGCCATTTTCGGAGTTTGGATTGCGGTCCAGAAGCATTTGCTGAACGCCTTTTATTGCTAACACTTTGTTGAGAATGCTGGCGCTTTAGATTAGAGGATTTTGACTTCGATAAGCTGCTTTGTAGTAAAATCGGCATAGAACATGGGAAGTCTGTCATAATCAATTGTCGCTGCTGATCAAAATTATAGCCGTTGCTATTTAATAAATCCGATTGTGCAGAATGATCTGGTACAGTATCCAAGCATCTATTGTGATGTGAAGCTAAAACACGCGCAAAACTATACAAGCAATCGTTGGAACAAAATACAAAGTCTACTGAGTTTTCCAAACTCATAGTTATTCCAGTGATTGTGGATAAATCATCCAACCACTTGCGCTGAACATTAGGAGATACCGCTTTACCACAACCTTTGCATGATTTTACAGAACGGTGTCTACTAGCCACTAGAGAATTAACGCTTACAGTTTCTTCAGTGTAACGGCAAGCTTCTTGTGTACTCGACAGACTACAATCAGTTTTTCCGGAGGTATCACACTCCATTTTGCATAGATTTGACTGAGGTATGTTGGACGATGGATGTCTTAGGCTAGGTGAGCTTTCCAGAACATTGCACTGCATTAAATGAGAGCTACGAACTTCCTGACACAGCTCATCTTTAGACGAATCCTTCTCAAAATGTAATGAAAGTGGTGTGAACTGCTGTCTTAAATGTGTCTCCAGACTGCGCATTACAACTTCACTTTGAGATTGATTTTGATCTAGCGTTATCTGTGCACCTGACCTGGTGATTTGGAAGTCAATAGAACTTTCCTCAACATTCAACAGTTCGGAAATACGATGAATAATCTTGGAAATATTTACAGTTGAAGGATTGACGGTGAAAGTGATATGCAATTTGTCATTTTCAGTTAGAGTAGAATCAAATAACTTCTCGGTTGGTTTTGAATGAGGCATTATCATTGTTTCGCCAGTTTCTAAATCGACGAATTGACTACGTGCATGCAAATCACCGGACAAAGAAACCTCTTTCGTCACGCTGTTGGATACATTTGAAATTCCCGACAGATTATTTTCCAGCTTAACATCAGATACATTTGAGTCACTAATACTACTGCATACTGACTGGAAACTCCTTTCGACGCAAGGAGCAAGGTGAATAGGCTGGCACAAAAGACGAGGGTTGGGCATATGATATAAAGCAAGGGGAGGAGTACACCTGTCTGCTTCTGTTCTTTCTAGAGAATTTGATGGATTGTGAGAGAACATATGAAGAAGAGACTGAGGTGTCAGCGACTCACCTGAGAGTTTGTTACACTCATAACTAACCTTTTCATTATAAATATCTTTGGAGTGCTGTTTAGAAAACTGATTCATTCTGGAGAACAAAGCCTTCATGTTGTTTTCAAAAGACGGGGGTTCTGGAGAGGCACGTACTGAATTGCATTCCACAGATGGCAAATTACGAATTTTAGGATGATAAACATTTAGACTGTGTGGTAAAATTAATTTAAGGTGTTGTGTGAGGTATGAATCAACAACTTTGCTTGAGGTAGTTGAGTCTATACATTTCGGTAACTTAAGAGACATAGGTCCACGGAGATATTTTAATCCTCGCATCTGGAGAAATACGTCCTCTGTGGCTACCGTCGATGCAGAATCACACATACCTGAAGGTGGTAGCACTGAAGAAAACGGTTGTAGAGTGGGGGCAGAGACCAACAGTTTTGGATCGACACCTTTCAGCTTGTCAATATGTTCTTGAGCACCAGAATTAGTTGAGCAAGCTTCTTGTGTAGTAGGGTTCTTATTTATTGAATTTACAGGGAACGGTGGGCTACCAACGGTTTTCCTTCTTTTGTTACTGCCTGGTACTGAAGAGTGTGAACGCTTTCTTGAAATACCTGTCGTACTTTGACAGAAAGTTGTGTTTATATTACTCGTTGTGGTAAGGGTGTGATTAGATGTCACGCCGACAGACGAAACAGGAATGAGAGAAATGCTTGAGTTAGCAGGAATTATGGGGTGGCGAAAGGTAACCGAAGTGTTGGCTTGTACACATTTTTTGTCACCGCTGGCCGAAACAGCCAGTGAACACTTAGCATCATCCATTGCCCCCATGGGTACGGACGTATTAAGAGCGCCACCAAGTAAGGATTGCGTAGATTGCATTGGAGTCTGAACAACACAAATATTTGAAGGATTAATAGACACTGGATTTGGAAAAGACGGATTCCCACCTTCTGGGACATGGTTAGGCATAGAATATGGTGTTGCATTAGCATCCGATGACAGAGATGTTTTGTTTATTTGATTTTTGGTTTGTACAATATTGGCTTTAACTGGAGACAATATGGGTGTGCGAATTCGCTGAATAGGGGCTGTAGATAAGGTGGAATGTGGTAACGTGAATTGAGCTGGTTGTCCTGTGTGGTTCTGAAAACTATGCAACACATTAGGATGGAACAAGACATGAGCAGCCGTCGTTGTTAAAGTTTGGCCGATCTGAGAAACAATATGATGTTGTGTCACTTGGAGCACAGGATTCGTCGATGAGTCTGGACATAACTGGACAAACGAAACGCCCTGGTTACTATAATGTGCAGAAACACACTGAGGGGAATTAGATGACAACTGGATAATTCCATGAGTCTGGTCAACTATATACCGTTGCATAGACTGTTGGGAAACAATATTACATGAATTATTGGACTGAAGGGCAGTTTGAGCTTTACATGTTTGAAGTATGGGTGAGTTCAAATTATTAGAATGTGGAGATGGAGCTGGAGAAATTGTTGGGGAAGTTATAAGTCCAGAACTAGGAGTATTTGCTCTCAGATTCGGTGACGACGTAACCGCAAACTCACGTGCCCTACAAGAGAGAACAAACATCCCTTCACATGGCTCATCACTCCGTGCAAATGACAACACATAGTCAATAGTTTCATCTAACTTGTCAAGGTCCATCTTGGCACGTTCTTGATCATGCAGTGGAGGAGTATCTGTTGGCCTACAGCATCCATTAACATCCTTAACTGCTTCAGATTTCTCTACATGAGAAGATAAATCACTGTTACTTCCTGGTCTAGACAGAGACCCATTACACGGAGAAGGAATACAGGCAATATCTGAAACTACATTACTTGATGGGGAAGCAGAGTCAGCAGCAACCTTATGCACAACACAAGGATATGATTTTTCATTGAGATCAGGATATTTCGATACTGAAACTATGTCATCTTTATCAGGAACTGTTGACTTTTCTGTTTCACTTAACGATTCTGGTTGGCCAAACTCAGAAGACTTATCAACAAAGTCAGAAAATGTGTCCGGTGAGACAACACGATTGCACATAGCTGACACCATAGAGACTTGAGGAGATTCACATTCCCTAAGGTTGTTATTGTAAGGGCAATGGAACGCATCAACTAGCCGGAGAACTTGATCATCATGTGAAGCATGTGACAAATCTTTATCAGCAAAATCATTGTTCGGGCTATATCGCAGGGTTTTATACAGAGATGGATGGGCTGTCGCTGAGGAACTCAAGTAACTAAATGTATCATCAGATGTCTTACTCATTCCACTGAACTCCATACCACATGACGCGCATTAAAATTTTGCTTTTGAAGCTGAAAGAAATCAGTGTGAACAAAAAAACATAAGTACGGTGATTAATTCACTACCACGTACAACCAATAAAGACGAGTATCCACACTATTTCCCCATTAAATAAAAATTTTATAGATAAATCCATATAAGAGCCTTCAAATGACTCGTCATAAAACTACTTACCGTCATGAGAAATATATCCAAACCCTACAGCATTAGGACGAACCATACGCGTTCAAAGAAGGAAATCATATCTGGACGTTACTTTAAACAAAGCGCAAGTACATTGACTATTCATACAATTTGGAATCCAAGGCTTACACCTACCAGCTCAATCTGTCTGAAATACTGGTTTAGCCAGTTGCTATTTTGAATAATTGAAGGCAAAATATATCTGAATTATGCTTGTTGATGTACATTCGTTGAACAACTAAGCGTTTAATTTTTCGAGAGGAGGAAAATACGATATAAACTGACGGATAAAAATTCTAAATTAGGGGTCTCAGCGACACTAAAGGAACACTAAAGATGACGATATTAGCATCCATAATCCTTTTTAAAAGCTGCGTATATCATTCTTTCGATGAAAGCAAAAGTAAGGATGGGTACCTGGAATGTTCGTGCAATGTACAAAACTGGAAAGACTGCCCAGATAACCACTGAAATGAGAAGGTACAGAATAGAAGTGTTGTAAATCTGCGAAAGCAGATGGAACGGAACTGGAAGGTGCCAACTACCAACTAAAGAGACAGTAATGTTTTCCGGCCACCAAGAGGACAACCACGAGCACACCGAGGGAGTGGCCATCATGATGTCACCAAGGGCAGCCAAAGCTCTCATGAAGTGGGAACCAATCTCCTCCAGGATAATGACAGCCAGGTTCAACTGAAAAGGAAGGAAAGTTACAGTGATTCAATGCTATGCGCCTACAAACGTCTCAGAACAAGAGAAGAAGGGGGCGTTCTACAGACAACTACAAACAATAACGGACAACGTCCCAAATGGCGATATCAAAATTCTGATGGGTGACATGAATGCGAAGCTGGGAGGAGACAACACCGGAAGAGAACTCACCATGGGTCGTGAGGCCCTCGGTGAAATGAACGACAATGGTGAACTGTTCTCAGACTTCTGCGCCTTCAATGATTTGGTGATTGGTGGTAGTGTGTTCAAACACAAGGATATACACAAGACGACATGGATTTCACCAGATGGGAACGCCAAGACCCAAATAGACTTCATCTCAATTTCAAGAAAGTGGAGACGGAGCCTACTGGACACAAGGTTGAAGAGAGGAGCAGATGTGGGTTCACACCACTATCTAGTAGAAGGGACTTTCAAGGTGAAACTAAAAGCCTCGAGGATAGCTGGGGACAGGCCACAATGCAAGTTCAGCACTCAATTACTGAAGGACACAACCACAAAAGACACTTTCACAGCAACTGTCAGAGCAAAGCAGGAAACATTACGCAACATCACTTGAGAATCATGCGTGAAAGAACATTGGAAGTCTCTGAAGGCGATTCTCAACAAATAGCGTTCAACGGTTTTAGGAAGACAGAAGAGACAAGACAACGAATGGCTCCCAACGGACACTTGGAAGCTAAGAGAAGAGAGGAGAGTGGTGAAGGAGAAAATGATTCAATGCAAGGACGGACAGGGGAGGGAGACGCTGAGCTGAATTACACAGCACTGGACAAAGAAGTGAAGAAGAATGCTAGGAAGGACAAGAGACGATTCTACGACAACCTCGCCAATAAAGCTGTCAACCACGTCTCGTAAACCGTTAATGCCCAGCTCTTGCTACGCTCGGGCTCATTCTGTCGCTTGAAGTTTCTCAGAAACGCTTAGTAATAACGGACGAAAAAACCAAAACACCGATTGGCCACTCGAGGATTCTTTATTGTTCCACCAACATATAAATCACGTATGACTAAGGTTTCTGACGGTATTTTACTCCTCTATCTGAACAGCGACCGATGAGACGATGACTGTCGTATTGATGCCTCCGCGAAAATTGGGGAAGTTGGTTTTGAGCAAACAACCATGAATTGATCGTTCAATCTTCAACTACATTGACACATGTCCTTGAAGGTCATTTGGGTACTTCGCAAGTACTATCAAGTATTCGATGTAAGTTCTGGATAGTGAAAGGGGGACCGTTGTCCGTAAAATAATTGATAAGTGCATGGAATGTAAATTCCGAAATGCTCGTCCAGCGCAGCAGATGATGGCATCACTCCCAGCGTGGCAAGCTTCTGAAGGGAATTATCCATTTGTGTACGTTGGGGTGGATTTGTTCGAACCTTTTGTAGTGAAGAGAGGCAGAACCCTATGTAAAAGATATGGCTGTTTATTCACCTGTTTGAAAATGAGAGCTGTGCATATTGAGATGGTTCATGCGTTAACTACTGATTCATTCGTGCTAGCATTACATAGATTTATAAATCGCCGGGGTGTACCGAAGATGATGTTCAGCGACAGAGGGACTAATTTTGTTGGCTGTCACGCCGAGCTTAAAGAGTACTTCGAAGGTCCCCAAACGAGAGTTCATGAAGAGTTGCTGAAAAGGAACATCGAGTGGCTCTTCAACCCACCACATGCCAGCCATAGAGGTGGGCTATGGGAAAGACTTATAGGAATTATCAAGCGTATTTCAAGCTCCATAATTAAAAACCAGAGTTTGAATGACGAAACGCTGGAGACATTTTTTTGTGAAGCTGAACGGATATTAAATGACCGGCCGTTATCACCTGTGAGGGACGACGTCAAGGATTTTGATGTGTTAACCCCAAATAAATTATTGTTATTGAGAGGCAACCCTGGCATAGAGGACTCAAGCGGGGAACGAATACCTACGATTAGAGGATGGAAACAAGCCAGGCACATGAAAGATATATTTTGGAAAAGATGGTTAAAGGAGTATATTCTAACACTGCAAACCAGGGACAAGTGGAAAAAGTTGTGCCAAAACTTAAAGGTTGGTGACATAGTATTAGTAGCAGATAAATGTGCAACAGGTAGGTGGCCTTTACGAGTGGTAGTAAGGCTACTCTGTAGTGGTGATGGATTGGTGAGGACGGTTGAGGTGAGAACAAGTTGTGGCATGTTGGTGCGAGATATTATAAAAGTGTGTCTACTGAAAGGTGCTGATAGTCGAGAGTCGGAGGATGAACCACTAGACGATTTTCCAACCTAGAGCGTCAACCTGAGAAGGGTTGTAGGCGTACTGCTGTAAGTCCTACAATTCTTCAAAGGGTAGCGCATCAATGAGCAGCCCAACGTGCTTGGTGTGTGATTTTGTACATATGTTCATGTTGTATATACTGAATTGGTATCATCTTTCATCTGTCTGTTGGTAGTTCTGTTTGTGTCCGGACGACTTCCACTTGGATCATCAACCTGAGAAGGAATGTAGGCGTACTGCTGTAAGTCCTACGGTTCTTCAAGGGTAGTTTGTCGTGTCAGAATCCACAACATTTGATGTGTTGATTGTACATATGTTTGTGTTAAATAGTTGTGTGAGTTCCAATTATTGTAATTGTTGGTTAATCTTGTTTGTGTCTGGACATTCCACAAATTATATATATATTTCTTCCTGTTTATGCAGGAACATACCAATTGTACAGGCATGGATAAGTTATTATATAAATTACACACAATTTAATGTATAATGAATTTACAGTTTGGTTGTTCTTTCTGACATTAGAGTCAGTAGGAACAGTCTGCTATAAAGTCTGTTTGTGTAGCACATAAAGAGATATAGAGATATTGTCTTCGCATTAACAAAAAACCCAGACATCAGATGAATGTAATACAGATATCTGGGAAAAATAAAGCTTGAAGTCAATTCTCCTATATAACTTTGTTGCGAGCAGCACCCATGGCTTAAAGATTATTGATGTATTATGTTGAGATCAGTGATATATTTATTCCATTTTTTTCAGCACTCTTATCGTAGTTTCATAACAGGAAAGAAATTTGATCGTGGATACGAAAACTAAATAAGGCCATGTTAAGTTGTTTTACTGCATCAAATGGTGCCGAGGTCGGATCCAGGATCCTCCATTTGCTCCATTTGTGTCTGCATGGCGGACTGTACTCGTAAGTTGAGTAAAATGTTGAAAACTGTTTGAAAACCAGTTGCTTCTTCATTTCAGATCATGAATACTCATTTACAGCATGTTCGCCAGCGTCTTCAAATGGTAGAATTGGATTGTTCATGGAATTTGAGTGGTTATGAGATAGACGGTTTGGAATTAATCCTCATTTCAGTTTAGATGCAGGGTTGTTCGACCTCGACCAGAAGATGAATAGGAGCAGCAAAATACCAGAAAGAGAAGATTGTACATATGTTTGTGTTAAATAGTGGTGTGAGTTCCAATTATTGTAATTGTTGGTTAATTTTGTTTGTCTGGACATTCCACAAATTACAATCGCCAAACTGTGAAGGGTTGCAGGCGTACTGGTATAAGTCCTGCAATTCTTCAAGGGTATTCCATCAAGACGTGAACTGCGAGTTTGTGCGTACTGTTTGTATACGCGTGTGGTGTGTCATATCAATTGGTGGTGTTTTGAATTCATTGTGTTTACTCGTTGTTTTCGTACCTTGTTGTTATTACATAATTTTGTTAAAATTTTCGTCGTGATTACTTCTGAAGTTGTTTCTTGTCTTCTACATCCGTGAATGAATTGATTGATGTTAAGGACAGCAGATGGGTCGTATACGCCGGGGAGGCTATTGCTGAGAATGAAACGCACACGGAGATAATTGTTACCTGCGGTCCGACACGCCGGGGAGAAAGAGTGTAAACGACTGAGGCTCGCATACGTCATCGTTACTAGAATTGGGGCAGAATGAGTGACAAGCGATTTCAGTGATAATTGGTAGTGAGTAGATAAGAGAATGAGCGTCGATTATCGTGAGGTAATGCCATGGTCACGTTGCATTCTGCAAGAGTCATTCTAGCAAGTGGCGATTGTGTTGCAATAGGATGCCTTTAACTGGAAGGCGCAGGTCGTCATTGATGTGTGAGATTGTGCTGTGGGTATGCTTGTGGTGTGTTGGCTTTTCTGTTTGTTTTCCATTTCAGCTCTGTCCGTGTGACCCAGGTTCTCGCAATGGCATCCAAGACAACGTGTATTGGTCGTGATGGCAAAAAGGGTTGGATCCCTTTTTTGCCGGGGAGTGTCAATGGAGTTGAAGATTGAACGATCAATTCTTGGTTGTTTGCTCAAAATCAACTTCCCCAATTTTCGCGGAGGCATCAATACGACAGTCATCGTCTCATCGGTCGCTGTTCAGAAAGAAGAGTAAAACACCGTTAGAAGTAATATTGTGATTTATTATTGTAATATTTGTTCACAAACCTTAGTCATACTTGATTTATATGTTGGTGTAACAATATA